AGAATACTGTAGGTTTCAAATGGGTGTTCAGATAAAATTGTTAAACTTTCAAAGGACTATTTAAAAGTTATATTAGCAGTTAAGTTGATTGTTGAATAAGAAGTTTAGTGGCATCAGATAATTGTTCAGTTAAAATATTATCCTCTCTAGTTTAAAAACAATATTCACATTGAAATGCTTGTTTCGAATATTGGACGTTTAAGTAATCAAATCCGCTATAATATTAAAGTTATTAACAAAACAATTAAAGTTAAATGAGTGCACTGGATGATAAACAGAACTTCTACCGCAGATCTCTATTTGTAAACTAGTAACTGAAGAGTTTTACCCGTTTATTTGTTCCAGACTAAAATAGCACATCATTATATATACATTTTTTAATAACATTCCTCTCAGTAAGAATGCACTATCCACGTTACTGATGGTTATTTTACTAGCAAAATAAGACAGAATACATTCTTAAGGGATCACATTACCTACCAATGGAAAATATCACTGTCCTTCTTTAGATCGTGAGTTCCAATATACAGCAGTCTTTCCCACGAGAAAGCACAAATTTTAGTTAGAATAGGAGAATGACCCAGAACAATAGGAAACTAGAGTGAAATGAATATAGGCATATTTCTTAACCAACGTTTTCTTGTCAAACTACATACACAACCAGAAACGTGTACGTAAAAACAACAAAACACTGAAAATTTAAGGTTGTTAGTAAAAATTTACCTCATAAACTAAAAACCAAACAAACAAAAAATAAACAAAAAACATTAAGTATGATTTGTGTATTATATATATATATTCCCTCTTCCCCTTCAGGCCACTCTGGCTATTTCCAACTTTGAATTTTTCAATGCAGTGAAATAAAATATCCCCACACTCGTCATGAAGCTGATTAAGATTCTTTTGTCCATGTAGAACACTTGTCCATCACTAGAAGTAGACGAGACAGACAACACAAAATTTTCACAAAAATATAATTCAGTATCCAAATACAAGTCAAAATATTTTTAAATAATGACACTGTTTAGCAACACATAATAGGCGGTTATTTAATAAACAATCATATAATTGTCATAACCAGGATTGGAGAAAGGGATAACTATCAAGTCATCCTTATATAATGGTAACTCCATATATATATATATATCATGTGCACACCCACACAAACACTCGATGATAACACTTAAGTTTTCGACGAAAAATGATTAAGTCATATATAATATGTACAAAAAAAAACACTTGCATTATCAATCAAGAATGATAAAATAGCTTATACACAAAAGAGCCACCATTCTCCTTAACGTAATGTTTTCTACTGATACCTAATCTTTCCCACAAGAAAGCACACGTGAGACTATAAGGGAATTAAGCAGAAAAATGTAGTGTTTTAACTTCTGTTACGCAAAACTTTTCATACAAAATCGTAAGGTGGAGAGAAAATGGCAACGACTTTTAAACTGGCGAAGAAAGGGAACTGTTTTGATTTCTAAACTAAGGAAGACGGGAAACATGAAAAATACTTTGCATACCACACACATCTGTAATTTAGCTAAAATATTGTTGCTTTTGATCTGATATTATGAAACATTTAAGAATTTCATTCAATAATATTGTTAGGATAATAGATATGACAACAGCCATTTTTACTGATTGTAATAACTAGAATATGAAAGCTTCATTTGATAAAACGAGATGGATCAAGTTTTTCTTTATATTTAATGAAGAATTTCTTCAGTTACAAAATCTCATTTTTACGCATGAATGCCCAATAAAAAAATGTTTCGATCTCAGTTGCTTCCTGTAAACACCTGAAATAAATCAGTGACCAAATAACATTCACATGTTCTTATTTAGCAACATTAGATGACCAGTGTGAATTTAACTACAATGAATCCAGTCAAGTTTTGATATTCCCAGGAAATTATTCATGTATGGTAAGTTCTTCAACTTTACCAATGAGTGTACATTTTACAATACGATGTTCAATGTACTATTGTACTATGTTTTCCTTTTTCTGTCTGTGCACTCCTATTCTTTATCTACCTGCCAATTACTTGTGGTCTTGTTCCTAAATATGTGTTCCTACATATGTTATCTGGCTTCTGTATAAAGGCAAGGTCCTGTCTTACTCCTATTCCAAGTAAATCTTATATATTGATTTGCTTCTAGTGATTTGCTATGATTTGTTTTTCAGTAACGTATTTACAACTCCAGTCCTTCGTGTTTTATCTCATTGTTGTAATATTTTCTATTGTTGGGCAGGTTCTTTTGGATTATTTAGTAACAATAATGTGAAGTTCATATCATGATAAAAAGTAAGTTTATTTATGCAATAATGTTTTTATAGGCTACATTCACTTTGACACAAGTTTTGGAGCTAAGTGTGCAAACAATGTTTGAACAGAAATTCCGAGACTAATGGTAAGTAGACCCAGCTCACAAATAAACTTGCAGAATTTTCTCTCTAATTACTCGAATAACTAAGTAGACTCAATAAATCTCACTTCTAACATTGAATTTTTTACACTAATCACACAAACTAACTGAATACTCATTAACTTCACTAACTGATTTACTTGTATTTATAAATAGTGTACTCTCGAATCTAAATATTAGATGAAAATTCTTGTTTATTACTGGGGAAATTACAGATACAGTCATTTTTGACTGGTGCCTTCCCATTTCCAATATAAAAAGCCCTTTTGTAGACATGAGGAATCCAATTATGCCCTGTACATCTTTGTACTCGGGCTGTATGGTGAGATTGTTTGCCATGTGGATTTTTCTCACTGTTTTTGACCCAGTAAATAATTAGTTTGGAACTTGTAGCTTTATATTGAGCATCTTTCAGTTGAGTGTTGGATCACATTAGTTATTCATCATCACTTGTGGATGTCACATATTGGATTATACTTTAGGTTGATAGTCTTTACATTATTGTAGTTCTCTCTTTTCACGTATTTGTAATCTTCAGTAACACTGGTATTTCAGATAATGCATCAGCATTTCCATGGTTTTGTCCAGGGTAATGCACTATGCTAAAGTTCTGAACTTGAAGTTTCTGAAGCCATTTTGATGTTTAACCTTTGGGATTATAAAATTTCACAAGTCACGTCACTGCTGCATGATCTTTCCAGAATGTAAATTTTACTCTTATAGGTAATGATGGAAATGGCATGACTCGAACAACAGTCAATAGCTCTTTTCAATTTATACAAAACCTTTTTTCTGCAGCTTTCATTGCTTTGCTGTAGTAGATGATCATGGGTTCATTTACATTATGAATAATGATAACATTGCTTCTACTATAAATTCACTTGTATCTGTATCTAATATGAGTGGGTTTCCAAGAGTTTAATATGCTAATACAGGAGTAGTGGTTAATTCTTCCTCCAGCTTGTCAAAGTTTTGTTCACAATCAGAAGTCTAGGAAAGTGTATGTGTTTTCAATAATTTGTGTAACGGATGAACTATCCCAGAATTTGATTTTACAAAACAATGATAGTAAAAGCACAGTCCAAGATATCCTCTCACTTCATGCAGGCTCTTGGTGTTGGCCAATTTTGGACAGAGTCAGTCTTTAATTGGTCTGTATACTCTAGCTTTCACTGTTTTACTGACTATTTACCCCCGGAAACTCATTTGTTTACATAAAAGTTTAAGTGTTTCGGGATTCAGGTTAAATTTCTCTTTCCTCAACCAATCCAGAACTTTCCTCAGCCCATCATAAGTATTATGAAAGGCATTTCCTTGTGTGATTATGTCATTCAAATAGATGAGTATGATGTTACAGTGTAGGATAGAGAGCATACAACATTACTCTTTGAGGTGTAACAGGTACATTACTTAGTCCAAAAGGTAATACAACAAATTGACACAATCCATTTTCTAAAATAAAGACAGTTGTCTGTATACTTGCTTCATCAAAGTGCACTTGACAGTGAGTAGACATCCTTTTTTGGTAACTTCATTTACTTTCAGTATGAATCCACCCTTCTTGTTCACAAATACAATAGGCAATGACTACAGACCAGTGCTCAAATCTATTGCTTCTTGTTCCTTCATGGTTTCTGTCTCTGTAAAAGCCTTAGTCTGTTCTATAAGTAGGTCATCTGGCTAATTAATGAATTGGAACTGCATCTCTAATGTCAATCTTGTAAGATATTTTATTTGTTTAGCCTAAGTCATGAGGTCCAATGTAGAAGGTGTATTAATATTCCATGGGTAAGTCATGTAATCTATGGAAATTAGTTACTATAAGAACCCTGCAGATTCAGTCATACAACCTTTTGTAAGTGAGGTGTTAAACTGTCCTTATGTGAATATTTTACATTTATAATTCTACATCTTGCCTGAAGAATGACTATTTCTGATTACTGTTTGATGTAGAATTATTAGCAGTAGAGCTTCACATTGAGCAATTTCCTTTCCAAATTTTACTCAAATTTTATGATTTATTGGGTTCATGGCACTAATCATGACATAGCTATTCTTCAGATCTATGAAAGTCCCTCCAACTATTAATCCTTCAGGACGTGGCTGAGTGTTTGGTTCTACTACACTGTAATTACTAGCTGTCAATTTATTCCAAATAACTCCTGGTGTGACTATTTCATTTCTTGGTGAAGTAACTGCCATATAATGCACAGGGTTTGTCTGGTCATAGACTGTAAAAGTATTTGAAGTGAGTCTAGCTTTGCACTCATGTTTCCAAATAAATTAATTTTTCTCAATGTCAAATATTCACACATCATGAGGTGCCAGGAAGCTCTCTACTGTAAGGGTACCGTCTAAGTTTCCTCTTACTGGAACTTTATGTCTATCTCCTATTCGCATCATTCTGTCTTTATTTTATGATTGTTAGAGGACATTTTCCTCCTTTAATTACCAAATTGGGTTAACATATCTTTAGAACCAATGTTGATTAACATACCACAAGGCTTCTCATCAATAAATCCATGGACTGGTTTCTTTGAATAATGAACTTCTTATCTTATTTGGAGCAGATGGGGTATCCTTAGCTGAAATTCGCCTCACATATCCTTTTAATTCATATTCATCGACGTCTGGTTACCTCTTTGTTATTCCTTTGAACTAGTTGGGCTCGTAGATTCCTCTTTAAGGTATTAACTCCTTGGTATATTAACAGCTGTTGACCTCATAGTCTCAACTATAATGACTGTGTCACGTTGATTGCAATGCTCTTTTATTGATGTTCTTTGGGAAAATGTGTTATTCCCTTTATGCTTTTGTCTACAGCTTTTGATAATAGATCCTTTCAACTTACACTTGAAACACTTATTGTCTTGAGGTTTATTTCCTCCTTTCTGTGTAACTATATGCCTAACCAATCCTTTCAGTTCTTCTAGACTTATACTACTGTCAGTGGGAGCTGATGTTTCCGTACTACTGGATTTGATTATCCCATAACTTCAAGATGGTTTCTTTACTTATCTATTGGATTCCTTTTCTAGTGCCAACTGCTGAGTTTTCTTTAAAGATATGCTACTACTTTGAAATCTATACGTTTGTCATGTGCCAACAACATGAGAAACATCTGGGTAAGATGATTAGTCATATCTTTCCAACTCTTGCAGGTTAGGCTAAGATATCTTCTTTTTTTCTGCACCTTGTTATGAACATTTGCTCTGGATATTTTCTTCTGTTATGCCACTCCAAATCTGTTGGGTAAGGCAGCTAACAATGCTATATAATTGGTAAAGTTCTCAGTTGTAAGGTTACTCAATGTCTTTAAAGCTGGTCCATTTAAATGGGCAACTAGGTAAATAACATGTTGTTCACTATTCCACCTGTTCACTTTGAAAATGCATTAGAACTGAGCCTATTAGCCTCCCATGGTACCTTTGCATCATAGTCCATTAGTTTATTGTTTGGCTGTTGTTATTTAACTTGTTAGCTACATTCTGGAACTACATATATGATAATGTTGTGGGTGGAGTAGTCCAGGAAGGTCCTGCAGTAACAGGTGACACAGCAGCAGTGATAACAGGAGTTGACCAAATAAATTCTCTTATTTCACATTTCATAATAAATGGTGTCTTGGTCAAATACAGAATGAGGAGTGAATGGCTTGGTTGTTATGTTTATTTTCAAATGTTTTATTCTACCATTTATTTCTTTTCATTTGTTTCAGTGGCTTAGCAGAACTAATTGACCCAGTGAAGAGGTAGGGGTGAACAAAAGAAAATTGAGGGATCGGCTTAATTTTAATAAAAGTTTTATTACATTTTGAGGTATTTACAGTTTACACATTTTATATCTGACAAATAAATCATGCTACCACTAACCAATTTGAGAACTAGCGACCAACGTTGACCAAATATAATCTTACCATGTTTGAATGCTCTGCCATTTTTACAAAATTGTTTGATAACATTCTTTTACTGAATTAACTAAAAGGAGGATATGAGATTTATATTTCCAATTGAAAATGTTACTTGGCCTGTACTTGACTATGCCACTGCTTTGTGCACTTTTTTGACTTTTTTAAATTTAGGTTTCTTACTTCTGGATCTGCTTTTAATATTCTATAAATTTCTTTTAATTTTCTGTAATTTTTTTTCATTTAATGTCTTTCTCTTTTCGATTTTTTTACTGTTTCATCAGCTCTAATAATACTCTATTTTCTGGTTGACCTACTTCTCGTTCAGAATAGTAAGTCATTTGTTTCTTTGCACTTGGCCCCCAAGTGGCACAGCGGTATGTCTGTGGACTTACGACGCTAGAAACCGGGTTTCGATACCCGTGGTGGGCAGAGCACAGATAGCCCATTGTGTAGCTTTGTGCTTAATTCTAAACAAACAAACAAACAAAACCTAACCTAAGAATGCAGCCGTTGTTTAAAACTGTTAATGCACAATTTCCTTTATTATAATAACACTGTATTTTATCATTTCATTTTATAGAATGTATCATGGACGATAAAACTGGAGGATCCAAAAAGTATAATTCTTCTGAATGTTACTTCCATTCCTGATGCCAAATTTTGTGGTAAACTACAGGTTGGTAATGGAAATGATCTGAATGAGAAAACATCCTTACTTGGAGTTGTTGGAATTAACGATACTGGTCTCGAACTGGCTACGTCGACGAATGAGGCGTGGATTAAAATAGAGAGGTCAAATACGTGTAAAAATAAGTTGAATATTACATATAATGAAATTAAAAGAGGTATGTAAGAAAATGAAAATTATTTATTATATTTTCGAAAACAATGTTAGTTATATTTAAAAAAGGCGAAGTATTTTGTGCAAATTCATAAAATCAGTAATAATACATCAGCATAATAATAGACATGTGATTAAATGATTCACAAAAACATAAAAAAAAATCTAGCTAGTTTCAACAGGCCATCTTTGGAATTTAAGAGAGAATGACAAGCTGGGTCTATCTAAATTTGTGTTTACATTTTTCCCGTAATGGATGTGAGTGTTTGAAACAACTCAAGTAGACGTAGGAACTTACATTATTAACCACTAGCTGTGAAACGTATAGTTTTCGAATGATTCTTGACCGTTGATTTTGCTTTCAAACTTAAAAGTTATTATATGCTAAATATACTTTTTATAATAAATGCCTGTCTTGCTTGAAATTTACTCTTTATGTCCATAATATGTTTCAATAAATCTTATTACAGAAAGTAAAAGTTATGTGAGAGTACGACGTCACTAGAAACAAGCAGTAAAGAACAAAGTTATACACAGTATATGGTCGTATATATATATATATACACACGGACAAAATGTAATAAGGCTAGGAAAATTACTTGCATCAAAATAGAATTTAGGAGTACCTTTCACGTGTCTTATTGCACTGGTGTGTCGATTGAGTTTGCACGCATTACACTCTATTGAAAGATGTATCCACACTTTGTCTTAAATTCGAACATTTGTAGACTGACAATTTCAAGAACTTATGAATGAAAGTAGAAAAGAATTTATAGCAATATGTCAACCATGATATATCTATTATATCCAATGCCTATAAAGCGTTTTACCTAATACCAGGTCTTATCAAGCCGGCTGGGATAAGACAGACACGATAGTGGTTGAGGCACTTTTTACATTACCAAATTCCACGAGCAACAACTTTTGCCTATTTGTAACAAATGGTGATTTTAATGAAAGGTATAGGCTGTTAAGGCTCTTTAAGAGGTAGAAACCGGGCATAACGCAGAGAGACAAATGACATATCTCTTTGGGCCTATTTAGATCTATAACGGGACAGTCGTGGACATATACAATCAAACAACCAATTAGTACACAAGACAGCCGACACGAGATTAAAATCAGTCAACTATTACGTCACTTAATAACCGCTATATGCACGTCATGGTTGGTTGGATGCAATGCTACTTGATGCACGCCTTTTTTCGCAGATGAGTCATGACTATGTTAAAACGTTAAAACAAGAATCGAAGATTTCATGTTTAGATGAAAGACATGCTCAGTGCATGTTGAATATGAACCTTTCTACGGCGATTCAGTTATGGTCAACTCTTATCATGTTTTCCAAGGGTGAATTCACTGCTCGAGGATGTTAAGATGTCAAACTGGACCTAGTTATATGACCTTTCGCAATGCAACTGCACCATATTTTATCTTGATGCAGAATAATGCTTAGTGGTATAGTGTAATGAATTGGCCAGTAAGAAGTTCTGATACATATCCCATCAAACATCCCTGTGACGAAGTATGACTTAACATTTGCCTTAACGCACTACAGGACGACAGATACTTGATGTTGCACTGACAAAGAAAGAAGACAGGATTGGTTCGGTTTGTTTTGAACATTCGTGCAAAGCAACACAAGGACAGTCTGTGCTAGCCATCTCTCATTTTAACTGATAGACTAGTGTTTGTTTTGTTTGTTAGTTAAATATCACACAAAACTAGTCTAGGGCTAGCCGGTCCTAACTTAACAGTGATAGACTAGAGGAAAGGTAGCTAGTCAACACCATCCACCATCAACTCTTGGGCTACTCTAATCAAACAGTCGGATTGACCATCATATTATAATGCCCTACAGATAAGAGGGCGATCACATTTGGTGATGGGATTCGAACTCGTGCCCAAAATTGCGAGTCAAGTGCTCTAACCACAAAACCATGTCAGGTTAGACAAGAGGGAGATCACCAGCATCCACCACATATTCTTGGACTACTTTAATCGAACAGTGTGATTTGAATGGTACTCTAATAATGCATTCGTGGTTCCAAATGTGTAGCGCAATTTATTTTTGCGACAACGGCGACACGAACCATAGACTCGGCTTCACAGTTTGACACGTTATTCCCTTGACTACCCTCAGATCAAGAGTCAGGAACCTTATAACATCATTCGCTAACTTATTAGAAATGTGCCTCACAGGTGCAGAGGTTGCATTATGGCTTTTAATGCCCAATATATTTGTTTTATTATTTTCGTTTTTTTTATTTTTGTACTTGACTTGATTTTGATCAGATTTAATAAATTTCTGGAATTTTAGAATTTTGTATCCTTGGTTTGTCATGTCGCCCAATATTGAGGTTCCTGTCTTGACTATTTTTATTGTTTTCAATTGTATTTTCATTTATTGTAAATTGTTTTTACTTTTAGTTTTTTATTTGTAATCACTTTGTTTTTAAATTCTTAAATTTGTTATTGTGGTTTTAATGTGTAAAATATTCGTAGGTGAAAGAGGTCCTACCTGAAACGCCTTCCGAATGTGTGTAAATAAAAAGGTGACCAGACTTCTCGGTTTTAAATCTGTTGTCCTAGAGTCTCGAAAAATACTTCAGGATATTTATTTCTCCCGCTTTTTTATCAAAGGAAAAGTTTGTCTAAAATGCCTGGCTGTTTTTCAATGGGTCTATGGACTTACGACACCAAAATTCCGAGTTCGATTCCCCGCGGTGGAAACAGCAGAAAGCCTAATGTGGTTCTGCTCTAAAACAACAATAACAACAAAAAACAACGTGTCAAACTGTATATATATATATATAAGGTTATAGCATGCGCTCGGTGTACTCTTGAATCAAAGAGGCACGCCTTTACTGAAAGCCAATAGTTCCTGAGATCGCACTTTCCTGCTTAATGTTCTTCGCGACTTGTACGAGTTTAAATAGAAATACCTGCCGAGGTTGGATTGGCTTGTTTTTCTGTTTTGTTTTAATTCACATGGCAGTTTATTTTATCGAATCTGTAACTGTGTGGGAACCACGTATGGCGACTGGAGACTGTGTTATTTTCTACCGGTGCTACAAAGCTACACGAGGGCTATCTGCGCTAGACGTCCTTAATTTAGCAGTCTAAGACTAGAGGGATGGCAGCTAGTCATCACCATTCACCGTCAGCTCTTAGGATGCTCTTTTACCAACGAATAGTGGAATTGACCGTCACATTATAATGCCCCAAGGCTGAAAGGGCGAGCATGTTTGGTGGGACGGGGATTCAAACCCGCGACCCTCAGATTGCAAGTCGAGCACCCTATCCACCTGGCCATGCCGGGTCAATTTGGAGGGCTGGATTTGTTTGTTTGTTTTAGAGCAAAGCCATTTTGAGCTATTTGCTGTGTCCACCGCTGGAAAAGGAAACACAAATTTTAGTGTTGTGAGTCCGTAAATTTGTCGCTGGATAGGGAAGGGAAATGCAATGTTCTCGTGAAACTTAAAATATGTGTAAATCAAAATATGCCAGATTTTTTTTTTTTTAATGACCAGAAATGTACCTAGAAAACTCACCATCCGCAGTATGGATGTTTCAGAATTTTCCGTTCCTCTGGGAAGGAGGTACTTCCACTGAGTTAATTTGTCCCAGTTTTTCATGTAATAAATTTAGTCACCCTAGTAAATAGACATACCCTATAGACTGTATCAATGTAAAGGGTGTCTACTCGTTGTGCTTGGTACAAATGTTTAATGATGACTTTGAATTTGAGAGAACACATATTCCACCAGTTATATTTTTAATAAACCTCGCTTGTTAACTACATTAAATAAAGAAGTGTCAGGAGTGTCGCAAGTATTTCTAAGAATATGAGTAAAGTGTAGACAGGAAGGATTTGGGAATAAATACCCCCAAAATTTCTTTCGTTCCGACAAAAAAAAGGAGGAGAAAGAGAAGACATTCTTTTCTTAAAGCATGCAGTATTTCTGTTATATACATATTTATTATATACTTGCACGTGCGTACATTTAATATATTATTTTGCTGTATTATACATAGTTTGAAGAATTTCTGTAACGGGGGCTTCCCAATCAAAATTGGGGGTACAAAAATAAGAGTAACTTTTTCTGTAAATAAAAAATACCAAATGTTAAATACAAACCAATCTGAGTGTTGGAAGTTGTTTTTTTTAGTTTTTTTACTGGGGTGGGATATTGTTCTTTGGCATATCCCTTCGAACTGAAATTCCCTGCAAGCTTCTGGGTTCTCCTGAGTTTTATGCTTCAATAATCTTGGACTAATTAAGAGGAAATTTAGTGACCATCAATTTATGTATATTTCTGTTTGTTTGCTTTTTTCAATATTCAACTTTTTTTTTATTCATTCTTTCAATTTTTTAAATTATATAAAATTACTTGATCTGTAGAGTACCGGTTTTGTAGCTTTCACTATTCTTCTATTCTACTTCTTTTAACCTTCTACATTGATGTGTTGTACAATTTAAATTTATTTAAAACAGTCGGAAATATTTCTTATCCTCTGAAAAACATGTAACCTAATGTTTAGTTTTCAACGACTCGGAAGTGAATGAGTACGAATATTTCCTATCGGAGTCTGATTGGGAGACGCATAGCAGGAATCATTTTCGCATTTGGAGAATACCAAACTCTACAGTTGGACAAAAAGAAAATGTAATCGTAGTTGATTCACTTAATCTGGATGAAAAGAGTGGAGATATGCTTATTGTTGGCTCAGGTAAGGGTTATCAACCTTACAGTTTTGTTTTTAATGACATCATTAAAAAAATCAAAAACACGAAAATGCATTATAAATACAGATAATTGTTTATTTACTAACATTTTTTTAGGTATTATCTACTTCTTATGGTCATAAATAGACACAGGCGTACCGTTCGTTACAACCGTCCCCCAGTGGATCAGCTGTAAGTTTAGAAACTTACAACGCTAAAATCCGGGGTTTGATTTCCTGTGGCGCAAATAGCCTATTCTATAGCTTTGCCCTAAAACAAAATAAGTCAGCTCAACCGTGAGCTCAGTGCTCGCGAAATATTGTGCTCAGAAAATAGGGATAACACAACAGTTGTCCTTGAAGTGGTTCTTCAGGAGCGGGCAATAATAGAAAATATAAATTCGATAATGTATGGTAAGAGTCTATATATGTCATTGAAGCTAACTGGGAAAGCTGAAAGAACAATGAAAAATATACCCTCCTTTATTTTGATCCAAAATTACAAACATTTTTCATATCTACGGGTTTTACAGATAGTGTTCACATGGAGGGTTGGCATCACTGTTCCACGTATGAAAAAGTTCGACTACTTAAATTAACAGGCATTTATTAATAGTTACGTCTGTGTACAATGATAGATAATATTGGTTGATATTACAAACTTTTGAACAATTTAATTATTGATAGTTGAAAATTGTTTCGTTCTTTATTTCTGTCCAACATTTGATGCACAAGAACCAGAAATTACCATAAGACCAGGGGGTGGCACTATGATTGATATGTTATTATGGACAATTTATGGTAACCACAGTCATTATGTGTCGGTGTTATTTGAAATATATTTGAACGTTAATATTTCTAGAAAAATAAAGGCTTCTTTTAAAACCAATTTGATGAAAATAATTTAATAAAACTTTGTTTTTGATACAGGGGAGATACTGAAAGGCACGCCGCCATTGTTCTTGACAGGTAAATATGAAAATAAGAAAATCGTTGTACCAGCTAGACAACGTGCATACTGCATTCTCAGAACCACTAATTCCATGAAGAGCCTGGTCTTCTCTGTGAGATGGGAACGTGTTGGTAAGATTCATAGAAACGTATCATTTAGATAGCTAGATAAATAGAGAGATAGATGGGCGGGTGGGTACTACGATAACAAACAAATGCATCTACAACATGTTAAAGTCTGAAATAGATAAAGGATTTTTTTAACTTAAACAGAAGGGTAAGGATCCCAGATAACAACAATTTGAAATGTATCAGATAGATACAATACATTATGGTAACGTCTGGGTTGCAGAGTCTCATGAGACAACTACCTCACAAGAAGTGTCCTCCACCACGTCGTTTCCGCCCTCATGGTGGCAAGCAATCTGGGTGTGTTTTGAGGACCAGGGAAATGATACTAACAAACAAATAAATGTAAGTAATCTTATATTTTCGAAACTGTTAAACTATATCAGTGTGTATATATATATATTACAGAAATTCCAGTTAATAGGTATATGTGTGTGTGTGTGTCATTTTAATAATGCATCAGACATTCGATCAAATAGCTGATAAGAATGGATAATGATGTAACAGGCGGAATCGAACACTGAATGTTGTATTTAGTCCATTTCCGTTTATTTTGCATTTGTTTTGAACAATAACAGGAGTCACGTGATAATTAAGGGATTGTAGCAATTTTTCTCACGTTTATTAACATCTTACATCCAGTAATAGTTAAGAAAGTCCACGAAGAAAGTTTGTTTGTTTGTTTCGAATTAAACTGGGTCAAGTTTGATGCTCATTGATCAATGAATGTGGAAACGTTTATTTGTTATGAATTTTCGCAAAGTTACACGAGAGCTATTTGCGCTAGCCGTCCCTAATTTAGCAGTGTAAAACTAGAGGGAAGGCAGTTAGTCATCATCACCCACCGCCAACTCTTGGGCTACTCTTTTACCAACGAATAGTGGGATTGAATGTCACTTATACGCCCCCCACGGCTGAAAGGGCGAGCATGTTTGGTGTGACGGGGATTCGAACCCGCGACCCACAGATTACGAGTCGAGCGCCCTTACCACGAAGAAAGAGTGGTTTGATGTCCCGGAAGATATCATAAGATATTAAACATGTTTAGCGTTTCTGCTTACTAAGAAATTCACATCCAGTAAAGAGGGAAGTCACTTGACAAACAAAATATATACATGGCCGTCAATGTCAGGATTAATCGGTTATTCCAAAACGATTCTGAGTGTTTCATCTTCACAATAACTAAAATTATGAGAACACCAAAGATTGATGTGATATAATATTATATTGCAAACCGTTCGTCTATCTAGCGTTTGAAAAGCTGCGCACGCAGGCAAAGCTCAACATTCACTTTTGAAATGACGGGAGAAAAGACATTACTAATGTTGATACCAAATTTTATTTTACAGGCAGGATATTCTACATTAAATTGTTATGCATTAACCACACTACCATACACATTTCAAAATGTGAAATAACTTAAAGAATAAAAGTATATATTTACTGTATGTTATTGTTGAGCGTCTCTTAACGTGACTGAAATGCTGAACAATTACTTTTTGCGGTGGGCGGTATAAGTATCCCACAGCTTTGGTTCTGAGTGAAACTAAGAGTGCAACACAATTAACATTTTTAAAGTCTATGAAATAATTTGAATTTCCAGATTTACTTAAAGTTTTCCCTTCACTGGGGGATGGGTACTTTTGGTTGTGAACTGATAAAGCATACTTTTGTTTAGATCTGGCAACGAAATAACAGAGGTGTTGTTTCAATTATATACTATATGTACTTCCGCAGGGTACCCGAAATTGTTTTGTTTCAAGAGTAAATAAAACCAAAATTAAAAGTAATATGCTTTTGAAGTTCATAAGTCATGCTGTGTTTCAGCCAACAGAGTGCATAATTATTCTTGTAATTCGTAGAATGCGCACGTTTTACTGACATCACGACAGTACAAATTCCAACGTTAATCGTCCCTTATGTGACGTCATTTTAGTGTCTACTGACTAACTGACAGATAACACACTACTGTGGTTAAAATAGATAACCCCTGCAGGTGGCCTTCGGACCGCTATCGAAGACATTAAGCACAATAGATAAGTGTTCATTTTCATTATCAGATAGCAATACTACTACTACTACATATGTAAAACTAGTTTAAAGCACGTAATTTACGTGAACGTCTTATAGTTGAAAAACGTGTATATTTTGATTAAACAAACTAATTTTAGTGAGTGATTTGAAATGCATATTTCATTCCTTATGCTCTATGCGTCGCTAGGAGACTGATGTCAAAACCCTTTTCAAGCTCGAAATGACCGTGATCGCCAAGATTTATGCCTCGGACAGAAATATCCTAATTCCAGAATTCAGGTAAAACAGTAAATAATCACCAAAATATGTTTGTAAAAAGGACAGCATCTGATAAATCACATTCTGTATTAATACAATTAGAATTATATTATTTGAAAACTAAACAAAATCATTATTATTATATAAAAGCTTTTTTATTTAATTAAGTAAAACTACTTAAAATAGTATATAACTTTTGAGATTTAAAAGGACAAGGATCTATAAGATAGGAATTTTTCCTACATGTGACGATCAAAAAATTTAACTTGCTTTACTTGTTATTAAACTCTATCACCAGATGGTATATTTGCAAAAAATATATTGTTTATTGTCAGTAGTTATCTCCACACTGGACGTTCGCACTGATTGGCTTCCTCAGGGAGGGAAAGGGGAATGATGCCATCAAAGACGATGACGTTATAGTTCTATAAGTTGTTTATTGCCACAGCTATATTTGTTACAAGTGTTTGATTTGTTGTTAAGTGCAAATCAACACAATGGGCTATTTGTGCTCTGCCTGACATGGGATCACATACATACTTTACATATGTATCGAATACAGTTATATATAGACTTTTTTTTTCTCAGTTGAAGTTCATCTCAACAAATTTTTTAATATGATCACCAACTTTAGTTTTCCAAACGTTGTTTGTCGTTATAAGACGCGATATATATTTAAAATAATTTAAAAGGTGGTGATATCTATTTTATCGTCAAAATCATTGTTTGTTAATAGGTGGTGATATTCATTTTATCATCAAAACCATTGTTTGTGCTAATGGATTTGTCTTTTGTCATATTGGCTTCAAACTTTTTATTTTGGGATGATATGAATCTGAGTATTCATTATGTATCGTATTGTCATCTCTGGTTGTCACATATGTTGAGAAGTCTACATTTTTGGGTTTGGAAAAATATTTTTTCTGTAAAGAAAGCAATACACTCGACTAATTTTGCTTTTGTGAGTGATATTGTTCCACTATATCTTGGATTTGTACACGTCAGCTGCCAAGAATCAATACTTAGCCATACCTGTTCTTATGTATGTAGTCTTTTGGATCAATAATATTGGCATCCTACATTCAGATGGCTCATTGATATATATATGAACAGAAAAGTTAAGGGGATGCTTTCCAGAGGCAAGGATACAGGAATGGTCAGTTGTTCAAATCAATGATGATTGTATCCCCTGATGGGTACTTGATGTCAGTTCTTGCTTAATATCTTGTTGGGGAGTGAAATAATGGTGCTGACACTACTCATCACATATTCCAAAATTATGTTGAAAACATTTGCACACGGAGCAAACCAAAAGATGTGAATACATGATTTACGGGTGCAATGTATATGCACAAACTAGATTAAAAAAAAATAGATGTTAATCTTTTTTGTAAAACTGGATATAATAAAAATCCTGCTGAAGAATCCATTATTTCAAATCTTGCTACAAAAGAGTGTTCGGTAATAAAAGCAATAAAAGGGACACAAAACAGTGGACGATTAGATGGACATGGTGTATATTAACCTGCAGACTTCATATATTGGAGATTATAAGAAACTAAAAGTACCTGTGCTATTTGAAACTGCTATAAATCTATTTTCATACCTAGTCAGAATTTTTATTTACATTTTTATATTGTACTAGCTGGAGTACCCATCCATTGGACGGGTGAAATAAAAATTCGTTTTTTATCAAAGGATATGAAATTGTGCTTCTATTTTTTCTTTACATAACAAATATTCAAAGGGCAATAAAAATACATAAAGGTACCAATAATAAAATGAAAGACATACTGTTTTCAAGAATTCTAACAATAGTTGTTACGTAGTTCGTTCTAATGCTAAGTGATGTACAACATTGGTAGTTTTTTCCGAAATTAGATATAAAATTAGAAAGGGTCCAACTCTCCATGGCCTTCCTCGTGTAATCCTGTATCACTGTGTCAAGTTTGATGCTCATTGATCAATGAATGTGGAAACGTTTATTTGTTATGAATTTTGCGCAAAGCTACACGAGAGTTATCTGCGCTAGCCGTCCCTAATTTAGCAGTGAAAGACTAGAGAGAAAGAAGCTGATCAACACCACCCCCCGTCATCTCTTTAGCTACTGTTTTACCAACGAATAGTGGGATTGACCATCACATTATAACACCCACACTGCTGAAAGGGCGAGCATGTTTTGTGGGACAGGGATTCAAACCCACGACCCACAGATTGCAAGCCGAGCGTCCTAACCATCTGGTCATGCCGGGCCATACCTATACTGATATTTATTTATGTAGATTTGTCAAAAGCAAAGTATTGCCCCCAAGAAAACTCTATCATATAGTTCTTCCTTTAAGAAGTCATAGAAAATTAACCTTTCCTCTATGCGAAATCTGTGCAGAAGAAAGACCACCACCATCACGTCAGCACTTGGATGAAGAACTAGCTTCTATGGGAACCTGGGTGATAGAAGAATTTAAGAAAGCTCTGGAGTCTGAATAAAAGATAATCAATATTCACAAATATTTAGTGGATATTTTTAAAACTTAAAGAGGAAAGTTCAGGATGGCCTGTGCATTATAATATTCCAGTCTCAACAAGCCTTCTTTTAGTTGTGTGCTGAATGGAAAGGTGTTCACCTGATCCCTGAACATGTCCTTACTAACTCTGGAAGGAGATTTCTTTGTGTTTAGATTTACTGTGACCATCTTAGGGATCGATGAACAATGGCAGGCTGATTTGGTGGATCTCTCCAATCTAAGCTAATATAACAATCAGTTTAAGTATTTACTCACGTTTATCAGTTTTTTTCTAAGCGTGTGTGGGTATTTTCACTCAAGGATAAGAAATATGCGCCACTCATCAAAACTTTCCAACAAATTTTAAAATTGGGTCAGAAATATTGTAAACTTCAGACAGAACAGAATCTATTGTTTATCTGGTTCAAAGTTGTCTCAAGGAACAAAAACATTCACTTCTTTACTACACATGATGAAACAAAATCGTCTGTAATAGAATGATTTAATCGTACTTTTAAAACTAGAATGTGGTGCTATATACACATCATGGAACTTTCAAATGTGTTTCTGTAATGAAAAATCTGGTCAAGTCCTATAATCAATCGCGTCATCACAGTATTAAAATGAGACCAATGGACATCAATTACTCTAATTAGTCTATAATGTGAAAGACTCTTCATGAATCCCACAACAAAGTAAACTTTCAGTCTCTGGTCGTTTGTTAATTTCCGGTATAAATTCTTCCCGAGGAACTTCAGTGATACAAGTCCTTTCTTAATAAAACTAGTTTATTCTTTCTCAATACAACTTTCCTATACACAGAATTTCTATGGTCACTTTAAATTAAATACACGCTATAATTCACAACGATTCACACACTTTACTTATGGTCACTACTGCTCACTTGACTCAGTTATCTGTCTCTATATTTGTCTATCTGCAATTATGTCTCCGCTTTATTTGCCAGGCTTATATACTAAAATAGAGGGCGCCTAGGAAAGACTAGAGTTGCCAGTAACAGTCATGATCCTTCTAGAAACATCAGCATGCATGCTTCGAGCGTCACGTAACTTTCGCTGTCGTAACACTGCCCATTTCTTAGTATTGTTCATCCTGAACAATAGCCACTTAC